TGTTGTGACTTCAAAATTAGAGTTGCTTTGGCTTCTGGTAACCATCGGGGCAGCAAGACTCTTCGCTGGGATGACTAGGTGAACACGCTTAGCTTTGAGCTGTTGTATTGTGGGAGTCTGGATAAAGCATCAGTCATAAAGTTCTTCCCTCCCGGGATGTACTTCAGGGTGAAATTGAACCAGTTGAAATGTTGCGCACACCGCATTTGTTTAGGAGATAGCCTTTGAGGGGTCTTCAACGCCTCCAAATTTTTGTGATCAGTCCATATTTCAAAAGGGTGTTTAGCCCCTCAAGGAAATGTTGCCAGGTCATCAAAGCCTACCTGACAGCAAAAGTCTCCTTTTCCCATATAGCCCATCGTCTCTCTGTCTCTGTTAGTTTTCGAGAAGTATAAGCGCAAGACTGCAGGTGCCCATCAGTGTTTGTTTGCAGTAACACTGCTCCCACTGCCACATCACTAGCGTCAGCTTGGATGATAAACGGTGAATCCATGTCTGGGTGTTTTAAAACAGGTTCAGCTGCAAAGTGTCGCTTCAGTTTTTCAAATGTGGCTTGACATTCCATAGTCCACTTTAATGGCTTCCTCGGTTTGGGTTTGGCCTCCCCTTTAGACTTTAGTAGATTTGTAATGGGTAGGGCAATGCTGGCGACAAGGGAATAAATTAACGATAAAAATTCGCAAATCCTAAAAAACCTTGTAACTGTTTGAGGGTACGGAGTAGCGCCCATTCAGTGACAGACTGGACCTTTGCTGGGTCCATCTTGATGCCATCGTGGGAGATGCGATAACCAAGGTAATCAATTTTTTCCTGATGAAATTCACATTTAGACAGTTTGGCGTATAGTTCCGCGGCCCGGAGTTTCTTGAGTACTGAGCGCACCAATTTCACATGTTCTTCACGTGTTTCCATGTAAATAAGGATGTCATCAAGATAGAACATCATGCCCTTGTACAGGTGATCATGTAAAACTTCATTTATTAGTTGCATGAAAACTGCTGGTGCCCACTGTAGGCCAAATGGGAGTACTCGGAGTTGCAAACTACCAAGCGAGCAGTTGAAAGCAGTTTTCCATTCATCTCCCTCTTTAATTCTGACTCTGTAATAGGCTTCTCTTAGGTCCAATTTCGTGAAAAT